TGTCCAGCCAAGACTGGAAGTCTGCCAGTGCCTACAGCTGTGAGGTCACACACGAAGGGAACACCGTGAAGAAGACAGTGGTCCCCTCAGAGTGTTCCTAGGACCTGAGTTCCCACTTCTGGGGACACTTCCTCGTCAGACTCTCCCTTTCCCCGCTCTCCACTGAACCCCTGAGGCTCCTGCTCTGGTCCACTCAGACTGGGCAGGCCTCTATCCCTCCCTGTGTCCACTTCTCCTCAATAAACTCCTGGTCATTTATCATCTGTCATGTCTCATGTGTGCTCTGTGTGTGGGACAGGTCTCTAGGTTAAAAAAAGGGTAGGGCAGTCATGACATGAGATTCCATCTACCCATCCTTAACTCAGCCAACCAATCAGGGACCTAATTCAGCTCTGAGTTCGGTCTGACCCAGGACCCAGAGCAAGAACTTCTCTGATGGGGCTGCCACCTGGGACACTGGCCCTTTTAACAGTGATGAGGGTCCCAAAAGGGCAGCAATGGGCTACCGATGAGAATACTGGGGAAGGAATCCTTTGAGCCCAGTCAGTGCTCTCGGGAAGAGACATTGAACCCAACGGGAGACCCATTACCAGCTGGGCGTTTCTTGGTTGGTCTGTCACCACAGAGTCATGAAAAGCTTTGAACAGTGCCTCCCATGGTATATTTGTCACCATGTGCCAATGCACGTTAGCTAAGCAACGACACTGACTAGTCCTGCAGCAGAGAAACAGTTAAGTATCACATGGCCTGACAATGCCCCCATCACGTTCATCCCTCCTACCAACTCGGGCAGCTCCGAGACACTGTTCAAGGCCTGGTCACTGGTGCTGGGAACATGGGGTGAGGATCAGGCACAAGGAAGCTCCGTTAGTGTTCTCATGGGCCTGGGTCAGGTTCAAGGTGACCATAGCAGGGGCATGGACCTCCATCATGAGGAATCGCAATGCCTGATGTTAGATAAGGGGGAGACTTTTGATGGGTGGTTGAAGGATATAGCAGGTGATGTCAGCATCTGACATGGGAGTTGACCTTGAAGGATTAGAAAGGACACCGTCCTGGGCTCAGAATGGGCATCCAGTGAGGGCTCAGGGAGGGCATATCCGCTGGAATCCAGGAGCCAAGGAAGGGCAGGTGAGACCAGCTCTGAGCAGGGGGAATGTGGACTATGGATTACAGCAAGGTCAGCACCCCTTGACACAGCACCCCCACACCACTCCACCCTTGGGCCTGAAGGCAGGGGACACCCCCAAGGTCACCCTAAAGGGCAGGCTGACAATTCTAAAGGACCACCCTGACGTCACCCTAAACAGTGCCAATGGAGGCAGTCGATAGAGAAGATCAGCCTGAGCCCCTGATCAGATCCTTGGGGACAGAGGAAGTTGCCAGAAGATTCTGTACGCAGGCCACCCAGCCTTTGCCTGGAAGGGGAGGGAGGAAAAGAAGGTTTCAGGGCCACCCGCCCCTCATGGTCTCTCCCTGGGATTAGGGGTGTTTGGACCTAAGAGGGATGTGCCACGCATTCCCAGGGAACCTCCCTCACAGTGAAATGAACGAACGCCCTCCAAACCCATCCCGAATCCCAGGAGATGGCAGTGGACACAGCTATCAGACACCAAGTTCCTTTGGGAGAATTGCTTCCACCAGATGAGCTGCTGTACAACTCGCTGTGTCATCCATCCACCCTGCAATCTGCTGAGGTGGTGGTGGGGGTGGGGGCAGCGTGTGTGCCCCTGGCAGAGCAGACACCAGCCGGGGGCAGTGGCCCAGGCTTCCTCCAGCACAGCTGCAGGTGGGGGTCCAGGGGTGGGGCAGGGCCTCCCAGAGAGAGGTTTTTGTATGAGCCTGTGTCACTGTGTTGGGTGTTCGGCGGAGGAACCCAGCTGACCGTCCTAGGTGAGTCTCTCCTTCCCCCTCCTTGGCTTCTCTTCCAGAGGACTGGGCTGATTTCTGTGAATTTTGCTCTTTTTCTGGGGGTTCTTTCAGCCTGTGGCCAAGCTTTCACCCAGGATCCCAGCTCTTGGGAACCTGAGCTCTATGGGTCCCTGTTCTTCCTGTCCTACTCGGTCACCCTCAGCCATTCACTTCTAAACCCAGAGTCAGAGGAATGGACAGGATGCCTTAGTGTGGATTCTTCCATCTGTCTGCCAGGGTCATGCGGGATTCTGGAGGGCCTCTGTTCTGTTTCCCCCTGATGGGCTCTTGTGGCAGCAGCTTTATTTCTGGGTGTCAATAGGGGCCCCCATCTCAAAGAGAACAGAGGATAAGGACTATGGAGAGGGAAACCACCTGAAAATTCTAGGGTATCCGGAAACCTTCAGGGCCAAGGCCTGAGACGCCCAGGTCAGAGGTTTAGGGCAGGTTTCAGGGACTGTGGGCTCATGACGAAGGGCCAGGAATGGTGCTGGGATGCGGGGCTCCCCGGAGCCTGCATAGAGCTGCCATGCAGAGTCCTGACCAGCCTCAGACCAGGGAACCTGCAAAAGAAAGGACACAGGGGGAGGGGGAGGTGCAGGAGGAAGGGTCATGGAATGACAGGTATGAGGTCAAGTTGGCTTCTGGGTCTCAGTGGGACAAACAGACTTGCACAGGGAAATGCAGAATCCATGGCCTGAGAGCTCTAGTGATCTGAGCAGTTTTCGGGATAGCGATTGACTGTAGCTGAAAGAGACGGAAGAAGAGACAGACAAATTTCTCTTTCATCAGAAAAAAGATGCTACCCAGTTCAGACAGGGAGCAGAAGACATAGATTTGGGGTGAGAAGCTGAGCCCTTGGGCCGATGCTCCAAAGCTCCCAGTCCAAGGATCAGGTCAGAGGTGTGCACACTTGGAACCAGAGAAGGTCAGAGGGCTCAGAGCATCTTCTGTGGGACAAACAGACTGGCAGACACAGACAGGCCCAGTCAGATACCAGGAGAAGGCAGAGCCAGACAATGTGGGTAGCAGATGTGTGGGTGGCAGAACGGGGCTCACAGGACGGTGATGGCAGGTGTCCAGGCTCAGGGTTTCTCAGGAAAATGGGGAGTTGTCCTGAGCACCACAAACTGCCCTACATGGCATGGACTCTCACACCCAGAGAGGCCCCTGCCCTCGGGGTCCTGAAGGTCCTCAGGACACTGTCCCCACAGGAAGACCCAGGTCAGGCGCTTTCAGGACGGACCCTGAGCCTCTGCCCTCCTGCCCTCCCGCACCCACAGGTCAGCCCAAGTCGGCACCCTCGGTGTCTCTGTTCCCGCCCTCCACTGAGGAGCTCAGCAACAACAAGGCCACCCTGGTGTGTCTCATGAGCGACTTCTACCCGGGCAGCGTGACGGTGGCCTGGAAGGCAAATGGCACCCCCGTCACCCAGGGCGTGGAGACCACCAAGCCCTCCAAGCAGAGCAACAACAAGTACGCGGCCAGCAGCTACCTGAGTGTGTCCAGCCAAGACTGGAAGTCTGCCAGCGCCTACAGCTGTGAGGTCACACACGAAGGGAACACCGTGAAGAAGACAGTGGTCCCCTCAGAGTGTTCCTAGGACCTGAGTTCCCACTTCTGGGGACACTTCCTCGTCAGACTCTCCCTTTCCCCGCTCTCCACTGAACCCCTGAGGGTCCTGCTCTGGTCCACTCAGACTGGGCAGGCCTCTATCCCTCCCCGTGTCCACTTCTCCTCAATAAACTCCTGGTCATTTATCATCTGTCATGTCTCATGTGTGCTCTGTGTGTGGGACAGGTCTCTAGGTTAAAAAAAGGGTAGGGCAGTCATGACATGAGATTCCATCTACCCATCCTTAACTCAGCCAACCAATCAGGGACCTAATTCAGCTCTGAGTGTCGGTCTGACCCAGGACCCAGAGCAAGAACTTCTCTGATGGGGCCGCCACCTGGGACACTGGCCCTTTTAACAGTGATGAGGGTCCCAAAACGGCAGCAATGGGCTACCGATGAGAATACTGGGGAAGGAATCCTTTGAGCCCAGTCAGTGCTCTCGGGAAGAGACATTGAACCCAACGGGAGACCCATTACCAGCTGGGCGTTTCTTGGTTGGTCTGTCACCACAGAGTCATGAAAAGCTTTGAACAGTGCCTCCCATGGTATATTTGTCACCATGTGCCAATGCACGTTAGCTAAGCAACGACACTGACTAGTCCTGCAGCAGAGAAACAGTTAAGTATCACATGGCCTGACAATGCCCCCATCACGTTCATCCCTCCTACCAACTCGGGCAGCTCCGAGACACTGTTCAAGCCATGGTCACTGGTGCTGGGAACATGGGGTGAGGATCAGGCACAAGGAAGCTCCGTTAGTGTTCTCATGGGCCTGGGTCAGGTTCAAGGTGACCATAGCAGGGGCATGGACCTCCATCATGAGGAATCGCAATGCCTGATGTCAGATAAGGGGGAGACTTTTGATGGGTGGTTGAAGGATATAGCAGGTGATGTCAGCATCTGACATGGGAGTTGACCTTGAAGGATTAGAAAGGACACCGTCCTGGGCACAGAATGGTCATCCAGTGAGGGCTCAGGGAGGGCATATCCGCTGGAATCCAGGAGCCAAGGAAGGGCAGGTGAGACCAGCTCTGAGCAGGGGGAATGTGGACTGTGGATTACAGCAAGGTCAGCACCCCTTGACACAGCACCCCCACACCACTCCACCCTTGGGCCCGAAGGCAGGGGACACCCCCAAGGTCACCCTAAAGGGCAGGCTGACAATTCTAAAGGACCACCCTGACGTCACCCTAAACAGTGCCAATGGAGGCTGTCGATAGCGAAGATCAGCCTGAGCCCCTGATCAGATCCTTGGGGACAGAGGAAGTTGCCAGAAGATTCTGTACGCAGGCCACCCAGCCTTTGCCTGGAAGGGGAGGGAGGAAGAGAAGGTTTCAGGGCCACCCGCCCCTCATGGTCTCTCCCTGGGATTAGGGGTGTTTGGACCTAAGAGGGATGTGCCACGCATTTCCAGGGAACCTCCCTCACAGTGAAATGAACGAACGCCCTCCAAACTCATCCCGAATCCCAGGAGATGGCAGTGGACACAGCTATCAGACACCAAGTTCCTTTGGGAGAATTGCTTCCACCAGATGAGCTGCTGTACAACTCGCTGTGTCATCCATCCACCCTGCAATCTGCTGAGGTGGTGGGGGTGGGGGCAGCGTGTGTGCCCCTGGCAGAGCAGACACCAGCCGGGGGCAGTGGCCCAGGCTTCCTCCAGCACAGCTGCAGGTGGGGGTCCAGGGGTGGGGCAGGGCCTCCCAGAGAGAGGTTTTTGTATGAGCCTGTGTCACTGTGTTGGGTGTTCGGCGGAGGAACCCAGCTGACCGTCCTAGGTGAGTCTCTCCTTCCCCCTCCTTGGCTTCTCTTCCAGAGGACTGGGCTGATTTCTGTGAATTTTGCTCTTTTTCTGGGGGTTCTTTCAGCCTGTGGCCAAGCTTTCACCCAGGATCCCAGCTCTTGGGAACCTGAGCTCTATGGGTCCCTGTTCTTCCTGTCCTACTCGGTCACCCTCAGCCATTCACTTCTAAACCCAGAGTCAGAGGAATGGACAGGATGCCTTAGTGTGGATTCTTCCATCTGTCTGCCAGGGTCATGCGGGATTCTGGAGGGCCTCTGTTCTGTTTCCCCCTGATGGGCTCTTGTGGCAGCAGCTTTATTTCTGGGTGTCAATAGGGGCCCCCATCTCAAAGAGAACAGAGGATAAGGACTATGGAGAGGGAAACCACCTGAAAATTCTAGGGTATCCGGAAACCTTCAGGGCCAAGGCCTGAGACGCCCAGGTCAGAGGTTTAGGGCAGGTTTCAGGGACTGTGGGCTCATGACGAAGGGCCAGGAATGGTGCTGGGATGCGGGGCTCCCCGGAGCCTGCATAGAGCTGCCATGCAGAGTCCTGACCAGCCTCAGACCAGGGAACCTGCAAAAGAAAGGACACAGGGGGAGGGGGAGGTGCAGGAGGAAGGGTCATGGAATGACAGGTATGAGGTCAAGTTGGCTTCTGGGTCTCAGTGGGACAAACAGACTTGCACAGGGAAATGCAGAATCCATGGCCTGAGAGCTCTAGTGATCTGAGCAGTTTTCGGGATAGCGATTGACTGTAGCTGAAAGAGACGGAAGAAGAGACAGACAAATTTCTCTTTCATCAGAAAAAAGATGCTACCCAGTTCAGACAGGGAGCAGAAGACATAGATTTGGGGTGAGAAGCTGAGCCCTTGGGCCGATGCTCCAAAGCTCCCAGTCCAAGGATCAGGTCAGAGGTGTGCACACTTGGAACCAGAGAAGGTCAGAGGGCTCAGAGCATCTTCTGTGGGACAAACAGACTGGCAGACACAGACAGGCCCAGTCAGATACCAGGAGAAGGCAGAGCCAGACAATGTGGGTAGCAGATGTGTGGGTGGCAGAACGGGGCTCACAGGACGGTGATGGCAGGTGTCCAGGCTCAGGGTTTCTCAGGAAAATGGGGAGTTGTCCTGAGCACCACAAACTGCCCTACATGGCATGGACTCTCACACCCAGAGAGGCCCCTGCCCTCGGGGTCCTGAAGGTCCTCAGGACACTGTCCCCACAGGAAGACCCAGGTCAGGCGCTTTCAGGACGGACCCTGAGCCTCTGCCCTCCTGCCCTCCCGCACCCACAGGTCAGCCCAAGTCGGCACCCTCGGTGTCTCTGTTCCCGCCCTCCACTGAGGAGCTCAGCAACAACAAGGCCACCCTGGTGTGTCTCATGAGCGACTTCTACCCGGGCAGCGTGACGGTGGCCTGGAAGGCAAATGGCACCCCCGTCACCCAGGGCGTGGAGACCACCAAGCCCTCCAAGCAGAGCAACAACAAGTACGCGGCCAGCAGCTACCTGAGTGTGTCCAGCCAAGACTGGAAGTCTGCCAGCGCCTACAGCTGTGAGGTCACACACGAAGGGAACACCGTGAAGAAGACAGTGGTCCCCTCAGAGTGTTCCTAGGACCTGAGTTCCCACTTCTGGGGACACTTCCTCGTCAGACTCTCCCTTTCCCCGCTCTCCACTGAACCCCTGAGGGTCCTGCTCTGGTCCACTCAGACTGGGCAGGCCTCTATCCCTCCCCGTGTCCACTTCTCCTCAATAAACTCCTGGTCATTTATCATCTGTCATGTCTCATGTGTGCTCTGTGTGTGGGACAGGTCTCTAGGTTAAAAAAAGGGTAGGGCAGTCATGACATGAGATTCCATCTACCCATCCTTAACTCAGCCAACCAATCAGGGACCTAATTCAGCTCTGAGTGTCGGTCTGACCCAGGACCCAGAGCAAGAACTTCTCTGATGGGGCCGCCACCTGGGACACTGGCCCTTTTAACAGTGATGAGGGTCCCAAAACGGCAGCAATGGGCTACCGATGAGAATACTGGGGAAGGAATCCTTTGAGCCCAGTCAGTGCTCTCGGGAAGAGACATTGAACCCAACGGGAGACCCATTACCAGCTGGGCGTTTCTTGGTTGGTCTGTCACCACAGAGTCATGAAAAGCTTTGAACAGTGCCTCCCATGGTATATTTGTCACCATGTGCCAATGCACGTTAGCTAAGCAACGACACTGACTAGTCCTGCAGCAGAGAAACAGTTAAGTATCACATGGCCTGACAATGCCCCCATCACGTTCATCCCTCCTACCAACTCGGGCAGCTCCGAGACACTGTTCAAGCCATGGTCACTGGTGCTGGGAACATGGGGTGAGGATCAGGCACAAGGAAGCTCCGTTAGTGTTCTCATGGGCCTGGGTCAGGTTCAAGGTGACCATAGCAGGGGCATGGACCTCCATCATGAGGAATCGCAATGCCTGATGTCAGATAAGGGGGAGACTTTTGATGGGTGGTTGAAGGATATAGCAGGTGATGTCAGCATCTGACATGGGAGTTGACCTTGAAGGATTAGAAAGGACACCGTCCTGGGCACAGAATGGTCATCCAGTGAGGGCTCAGGGAGGGCATATCCGCTGGAATCCAGGAGCCAAGGAAGGGCAGGTGAGACCAGCTCTGAGCAGGGGGAATGTGGACTGTGGATTACAGCAAGGTCAGCACCCCTTGACACAGCACCCCCACACCACTCCACCCTTGGGCCCGAAGGCAGGGGACACCCCCAAGGTCACCCTAAAGGGCAGGCTGACAATTCTAAAGGACCACCCTGACGTCACCCTAAACAGTGCCAATGGAGGCTGTCGATAGCGAAGATCAGCCTGAGCCCCTGATCAGATCCTTGGGGACAGAGGAAGTTGCCAGAAGATTCTGTACGCAGGCCACCCAGCCTTTGCCTGGAAGGGGAGGGAGGAAGAGAAGGTTTCAGGGCCACCCGCCCCTCATGGTCTCTCCCTGGGATTAGGGGTGTTTGGACCTAAGAGGGATGTGCCACGCATTCCCAGGGAACCTCCCTCACAGTGAAATGAACGAACGCCCTCCAAACCCATCCCGAATCCCAGGAGATGGCAGTGGACACAGCTATCAGACACCAAGTTCCTTTGGGAGAATTGCTTCCACCAGATGAGCTGCTGTACAACTCGCTGTGTCATCCATCCACCCTGCAATCTGCTGAGGTGGTGGTGGGGGTGGGGGCAGCGTGTGTGCCCCTGGCAGAGCAGACACCAGCCGGGGGCAGTGGCCCAGGCTTCCTCCAGCACAGCTGCAGGTGGGGGTCCAAGGGTGGGCAGGGCCTCCCAGAGAGAGGTTTTTGTATGAGCCTGTGTCACTGTGTTGGGTGTTCGGCGGAGGAACCCAGCTGACCGTCCTAGGTGAGTCTCTCCTTCCCCCTCCTTGGCTTCTCTTCCAGAGGACTGGGCTGATTTCTGTGAATTTTGCTCTTTTTCTGGGGGTTCTTTCAGCCTGTGGCCAAGCTTTCACCCAGGATCCCAGCTCTTGGGAACCTGAGCTCTATGGGTCCCTGTTCTTCCTGTCCTACTCGGTCACCCTCAGCCATTCACTTCTGACCCCAGAGTCAGAGGAATGGACAGGATGCCTTAGTGTGGATTCTTCCATCTGTCTGCCAGGGTCATGCGGGATTCTGGAGGGCCTCTGTTCTGTTTCCCCCTGATGGGCTCTTGTGGCAGCAGCTTTATTTCTGGGTGTCAATAGGGGCCCCCATCTCAAAGAGAACAGAGGATAAGGACTATGGAGAGGGAAACCACCTGAAAATTCTAGGGTATCCGGAAACCTTCAGGGCCAAGGCCTGAGACGCCCAGGTCAGAGGTTTAGGGCAGGTTTCAGGGACTGTGGGCTCATGACGAAGGGCCAGGAATGGTGCTGGGATGCGGGGCTCCCCGGAGCCTGCATAGAGCTGCCATGCAGAGTCCTGACCAGCCTCAGACCAGGGAACCTGCAAAAGAAAGGACACAGGGGGAGGGGGAGGTGCAGGAGGAAGGGTCATGGAATGACAGGTATGAGGTCAAGTTGGCTTCTGGGTCTCGGTGGGACAAACAGACTTGCACAGGGAAATGCAGAATCCATGGCCTGAGAGCTCTAGTGATCTGAGCAGTTTTCGGGATAGCGATTGACTGTAGCTGAAAGAGACGGAAGAAGAGACAGACAAATTTCTCTTTCATCAGAAAAAAGATGCTACCCAGTTCAGACAGGGAGCAGAAGACATAGATTTGGGGTGAGAAGCTGAGCCCTTGGGCCGATGCTCCAAAGCTCCCAGTCCAAGGATCAGGTCAGAGGTGTGCACACTTGGAACCAGAGAAGGTCAGAGGGCTCAGAGCATCTTCTGTGGGACAAACAGACTGGCAGACACAGACAGGCCCAGTCAGATACCAGGAGAAGGCAGAGCCAGACAATGTGGGTAGCAGATGTGTGGGTGGCAGAACGGGGCTCACAGGACGGTGATGGCAGGTGTCCAGGCTCAGGGTTTCTCAGGAAAATGGGGAGTTGTCCTGAGCACCACAAACTGCCCTACATGGCATGGACTCTCACACCCAGAGAGGCCCCTGCCCTCGGGGTCCTGAAGGTCCTCAGGACACTGTCCCCACAGGAAGACCCAGGTCAGGCGCTTTCAGGACGGACCCTGAGCCTCTGCCCTCCTGCCCTCCCGCACCCACAGGTCAGCCCAAGTCGGCACCCTCGGTGTCTCTGTTCCCGCCCTCCACTGAGGAGCTCAGCAACAACAAGGCCACCCTGGTGTGTCTCATGAGCGACTTCTACCCGGGCAGCGTGACGGTGGCCTGGAAGGCAAATGGCACCCCCGTCACCCAGGGCGTGGAGACCACCAAGCCCTCCAAGCAGAGCAACAACAAGTACGCGGCCAGCAGCTACCTGAGTGTGTCCAGCCAAGACTGGAAGTCTGCCAGCGCCTACAGCTGTGAGGTCACACACGAAGGGAACACCGTGAAGAAGACAGTGGTCCCCTCAGAGTGTTCCTAGGACCTGAGTTCCCACTTCTGGGGACACTTCCTCGTCAGACTCTCCCTTTCCCCGCTCTCCACTGAACCCCTGAGGCTCCTGCTCTGGTCCACTCAGACTGGGCAGGCCTCTATCCCTCCCTGTGTCCACTTCTCCTCAATAAACTCCTGGTCATTTATCATCTGTCATGTCTCATGTGTGCTCTGTATGTGGGACAGGTCTCTAGGTTAAAAAAAGGGTAGGGCAGTCATGACATGAGATTCCATCTACCCATCCTTAACTCAGCCAACCAATCAGGGACCTAATTCAGCTCTGAGTGTCGGTCTGACCCAGGACCCAGAGCAAGAACTTCTCTGATGGGGCCGCCACCTGGGACACTGGCCCTTTTAACAGTGATGAGGGTCCCAAAAGGGCAGCAATGGGCTACCGATGAGAATACTGGGGAAGGAATCCTTTGAGCCCAGTCAGTGCTCTCGGGAAGAGACATTGAACCCAACGGGAGACCCATTACCAGCTGGGCGTTTCTTGGTTGGTCTGTCACCACAGAGTCATGAAAAGCTTTGAACAGTGCCTCCCATGGTATATTTGTCACCATGTGCCAATGCACGTTAGCTAAGCAACGACACTGACTAGTCCTGCAGCAGAGAAACAGTTAAGTATCACATGGCCTGACAATGCCCCCATCACGTTCATCCCTCCTACCAACTCGGGCAGCTCCGAGACACTGTTCAAGGCATGGTCACTGGTGCTGGGAACATGGGGTGAGGATCAGGCACAAGGAAGCTCCGTTAGTGTTCTCATGGGCCTGGGTCAGGTTCAAGGTGACCATAGCAGGGGCATGGACCTCCATCATGAGGAATCGCAATGCCTGATGTCAGATAAGGGGGAGACTTTTGATGGGTGGTTGAAGGATATAGCAGGTGATGTCAGCATCTGACATGGGAGTTGACCTTGAAGGATTAGAAAGGACACCGTCCTGGGCTCAGAATGGGCATCCAGTGAGGGCTCAGGGAGGGCATATCCGCTGGAATCCAGGAGCCAAGGAAGGGCAGGTGAGACCAGCTCTGAGCAAGGGGAATGTGGACTATGGATTACAGCAAGGTCAGCACCCCTTGACACAGCACCCCCACACCACTCCACCCTTGGGCCCGAAGGCAGGGGACACCCCCAAGGTCACCCTAAAGGGCAGGCTGACAATTCTAAAGGACCACCCTGACGTCACCCTAAACAGTGCCAATGGAGGCTGTCGATAGCGAAGATCAGCCTGAGCCCCTGATCAGATCCTTGGGGACAGAGGAAGTTGCCAGAAGATTCTGTACGCAGGCCACCCAGCCTTTGCCTGGAAGGGGAGGGAGGAAGAGAAGGTTTCAGGGCCACCCGCCCCTCATGGTCTCTCCCTGGGATTAGGGGTGTTTGGACCTAAGAGGGATGTGCCACGCATTTCCAGGGAACCTCCCTCACAGTGAAATGAACGAACGCCCTCCAAACTCATCCCGAATCCCAGGAGATGGCAGTGGACACAGCTATCAGACACCAAGTTCCTTTGGGAGAATTGCTTCCACCAGATGAGCTGCTGTACAACTCGCTGTGTCATCCATCCACCCTGCA